TTTCAACCGAAGCAGGAAAAACAAGACCTTTAAAAAATGTGTCCCTCCTCACTTTTAGGATGGTGATTACGCCCTTGTCACCTTGTGTTTATGCTTCTTTCTCTTCTCTACTAACATCGCTTTGTTTCTCTTCTCCTTTTCTTTTCTGTTTTCTTTTCCATCTCCACATCCGTTATATAAAAACAATCCCAAAAGAATTTCTAATTAAGTTTAAATATACAGTATATCAAATGTAGCATCATGATGAAAGCCATTATGTTGCACTTGTGAGAGTAAAATTGTTGGGTCTCGTTTTGACACTCAGACACCAATTCTGAGATTCATACTGCTGGACAGGACACGGTAAAAAAAAAAAAGTAAGGGTTCAGGTTTGCAGGTTAATGACGTATAGGTAAAAGTCTTCCCCACATGTGTGTGTGAGTGCCATGCTTGAGAGCACAATCAGCAGGCACAGAGAAAAGAGCAGGAGCTCAGTGTTGATTTTATTCTGCCACAACCCATAATTTTCCTTTTAAGAAGGGGACTTTCTGGTCCCTCTGTGCCCCGGTTTCTGTTTGAGCTGATTTTGCACAGAACAAATGATGCCACTCATGCAGGCTCGAGCTGCAGTTGTAAAGAACAAGGAAACCACATCAAGTTGTTTCATTTAATGGCTGCAGTGTTAGCATTGTGAACATTCTGCCTCTTTGTGGTTTAACTGTGAAAAATAACTGTCAGCTGAAACAAATGAGGGCATCAACAGTTAGGTCCATATGTATATTTGGACAGAGACGTTTTTCTAATTTTGGTTCTAGACAGATTGCCACGGTGTATTTTAAACAAAACAATTCAGATGCAGTTGAAGTTCAGACTTCCAGCTTTAATTCAGTGGGTTGAACAAAATGTTTGCATAAAAATGTGAGGAACTAAAGCATCATTTAAACACAACCCCTTCATTTCAGAGGCTCAAAAGTAATTGGACAGATTAAATAATTGTAAATAAAATGTTCATTTCTAGTACTTGGTTGAAAAGCCTTTGTTGTCAATGACTGCCTGAAGTCTTGAACTCATGGACGTCACCAGACGCTGTGTTTCCTCCTTTTAAATGCTCTGCCAGGCCTTCACTGTGACGGTTTTCAGTTGCTTTTTGTTTGTGGGCCTTTCTGTCTGAAGTTTAGTCTTTAACAAGTAAAATGCTCAGTTAGGTTGAGATCAGGTGACTGACTTGGTCATTCAAGAATCTTCCACTTCTTTGCTTTAATAAACTCTTGGGTTGCTTTGGCTTTATGTTTTGGGTCATTGTCCATCTGTAGGATGAAATGACGACCAATCAGTTTGGCTGCATTTGTCTGATCTGAGCACACAGTTTGGCTCTGAATACCTCAGAATTCATTGGGCTGCTTCTGTCCTGTGTCACATCATCA